CACGGCCGCGCCGGTTCGGGAATACCGCAGGTATCTGACATATTAACCGCAGTCTTATAACCGCAGATTGCTGTTATGCAGATGCGACCACTTTGCTTGCGCCACCGCAACCCCCTCGCCTCTTCATTATTCTCCAATTCAACCTTTATAATGCCTGCACGACAAAATGAATTACATTGGACACTGAAATATATTCACAAATTTACTGGTTGCACACAGGTCAAATTTTTACAAATTCACAGCCTGGCCCATGGCGTCGGCCAACATCTTAGCGCCGCTGCAAGGCGCTGGCACAGCGGACTCACTTCCGGTGTTCACAGTCATTATAGCAGGCCTGCGCCTTGTTCGTGTCGGCTCCTCTGCTGACAGTGTGTCCGTGTGCCGTCACGGGCTTCAGAGAGCCACCGCGAAACTATGTAGACGGCTGGCATCTGGTCGGGCGGTTCACCACTGTGCGAAGAGAGCATCTGAAAATGACCAAGAGGTAATTAATCAAAGTCTGGGACACACTAAAAATCACTAAGAAATAACCCACATCTGACATTTCACATGATAGGTATGCCTGGTAATTCAGGTTTCAAGCCTACAATGCAACCAATGACACTTGACAATGAGACCAAACATCTTCTGTCCATGGTAACTGATCAAACATGCGACAGCACGAGTGTAATTCACATGCCGTACAATCACAACGAACATAAAAATTTATATTACCTATAGCTTTCCCGCTCCCTACATCACGGATGAAGTGTGCACTATACTCACCCTGTTCTCAAAGACGGACTGATTTCCCTGCAACGACAACAGTTGAACCGACCGCTTGCTAGAGCCAGTTCAAAAGCAATATCCTAAGGCAGCAGCTCAAAGGAGGCCGAGGGATCGACACTTGACCAGCGCGGCAGCTAGACTGGCCGCTGCGCTCAGAGGACGCGTCTGCCTGCACGCGGCCCATCTGATTGCTTTTCCAGGCTTTCTGGGCCACCGGATATGGTGCCCGAAGCGCCTTCTCAGATCGGTTGGGATAACAACGTAAATCACAAGCCTGTCTAAACATGGGATTCGATTGGGCTATCCGTACCGCGTCCCAACCGATTAAGCATGCGGTCCGGAAATCCCGAGTCGCCCCTACCGCCGGCCATCGAGGTCCGGTATCGATTGGGACAACCCAAGCCTACCCAACCCGGTAGGGACAAGTCGGGACATCCGGAGCCTATCCCGACCGTCCCCAACCGCATCCCGGACGAATTGCTGGCTGGGTGGGGGGGGGGGGGCTATTCATAGACCCCCCCCCCCCTCCTAACTCCGAAACTACTGGGCCGATCGTCAAAATTCAAACGGCGTCTGATAGCCCCAGAAAAACTGTCGAGCGAAACCTTATTTCATTGAACTCGAGGTCACTGATGACGTCACAGGTCAGGTCAAAATAAAAATTATTAGCATTTTGGCTTGTTCACATTTTGGGCTCTGGCCGCCATCTTACAAAGCAGCTCAGGCTCATTTTTGGTTCACACACTCGTGAACAGATGCTCTAGATACCCTGAGGGTATCAAACTTATACTTTGATTTTCAGGTCAAGGTCAGGTCATCACAGGTCACGAAAATATTATATCATGCGTCGGTCACGTGACACATGTTTTATGGTCCATTTAGCCCAAAGATTTCGAATTTGATGTCGTCTGTGTCATTCGAGGTCATTTTGAGTCGAATTTAGCTTAGGTCAGGTCACTTTCAGGTCAAAAAAGGGCAAATTTTAAAGTTAAAATTTTTCAACAAAAAATGTGTCTTTTGGATGCAGTTTGAGCTCAGGAACACGATGGTGCTATTTATATTGGCGTACGATGTCAAATACGTGCTGAACAATTGATTTGAAAAATTAATAGTTGTGAAATTTTTGCAATAATGCGTATAACTCGGCCATTTTTGAAGATATTTAGCTAGAAATTGCTAGAGTTAGTTATAACAAGGCGTTCTATCACATATAATCCGGTTTTTTTTTCGAAAAGTCAAAAACGTTTTGAAAAAATGTAAAAATATAAATTTTGAATTATACTCTATAATTTTTTTTTTAATTTTCAAAATTTTGAAAATCCGAGATAGCAGATTTGATAGCACAGTCTATTCTGAGTCCTCTCATGCAAAGAAATTGGATCTAGCTTAAAAACTGAGCTCTTGGGAGTGATTGCCGTGGTTCAATCAATGTTTTGCGTCGAAATAGGCCCAACATGACGTCACTCTGACGTCATTTCCGGCCGACCTATGGTAGCTACGAAGTTCAAATTTTGACACAAGGTGTCAAATTGATGCAGCCGAAGTTGCTGAAAGTTTTTTGTCGATACGTCAAGCGGTTTGGAAGTTATTGCAGAAAAACGGGAGGGGCTATGAATAGTCCCTCCCCCCAGTGGGGCGCGGGTTACTATCTTGAATTTGAAAAAAAAAACAGATAAATATTAAAAGAAATATTTATTTACAATTACTTTTTTTCAAAAAGTTTTTGATTTTTTTTTTAATGGAACATATGTGATACTTACAGTGATTACCTATTCTAGCAAGTTTTAGCCCAATATCTTCATCCTGAGCTCAAACTGCATCTGACAGGCACCTTTTTTTGTTGAAAAAAAATCATTTTCAAAATTTGACCTTTCCTGACCTGAAAGGCTGAAAGTGACCTGACCTCCAGTAAATTCAGCTGAAAATGATCTCAAATGACACAGACGACATTTTTTCGAAATCTACCAGTAAAATGCCGACCATAAACCATGCGTCGCGTGACCGATACATGATATACAATTTTTGTGACCTAGAATGACCTGGCCTTGACCTGAAAAATTCGAAGTAAAAGTTCGGTACCCTCAGGGATCTAAGGCATATATCAAGGAGTGCGTAAAACAAAAATGAGTCTGATCCGACTTGTCAGCCGGCAGTCAGAGCCTAAATTGGAAACAAGCAAAAATGCTGATAATTTTTGCTTTGACCTGAGCTGCGACGTCATCGGTGACCTCGAGGTCCTTGAAAATAGGTTTTGCTCGACAGTTTTCCAGGGCTATCAGACGCCGTTTGAATTTTGACGATCGACCCAGTAGTTTCGGAGATCTGGAGAGCTCCCCCCCCCCTCAGTCACTCGCGTTATGGAAAATACCCCAGTCACGCGCGGGTTAAAAGGTTACGCACATGCACTGAACTCACTGTCTTTAATTAATTGAAAAATGTCCGTGCATTTAACCTCCCAGTTACGTTTATGTGCCCGTTTGCAGTCTCCAGCGTCCCAACTTGCCAGTTGCCATTCAGTTGCCTTTCTTCAAAATAATTAGTATGAGATGTCTTTATGTCACCACCATAGGAAAATGTGCTATGGTGCCTTCCTGTTAAAAAAGGCCCCTTCCTCAGAAGATTCATATAGACGCTAAACCAGGGAAGGGCCAAATTTGATAGCTCTGTGGTGACAGGTAGCTCTAGCTGTCCATCACATGGATTCGCACTTCCGTGACTGGCTGCTGGAAAACTACCCCATCCGTTTCGACGTGCGAAGTGCGGCTGCCTGGGTTCAACGCTCTCGGGAATCCGAGCCAATCAATCATGTTCGGCGAACAGCTGTTGTGAGCCGCTCACCGTCTGCGCCCGTGACCTTGGTGAATGGTGATTATACCTGCCTGCCACCCGAGCCGCCGAGAGTCGGTGGTCATCGAACCTCGCTCTTGAACCGGAGCTCATAAATAACGACCATGGGCTCGGAGCCGGCGGGTGGAGACCCAATCCTTCCTGGCTGCTGCGAACAGCTTGTAGAGCTTCATAGTTATACCTACTCATCTGCATGTGTGTTTTTATTTGTCCTAGATTCGTCAATAGACGACATTCAAGTAGAGGTGGAGTGTGTAGTGTTTTTCTTCTTGACCGGCTTGTTTATACGCACCAGCAGCAAACGGTGCCGCGGCGTTCTTTTCATATGCGATCCATTTCGAACAAACTCCATTGCTTTTCATTATAATAGTAGGGCACTACGGTCTCTTCGTCGTTTCGTCCGTACTTGATCTACATAAAGCTACAAGCGGACAAAGTGGTGCTTATCATATGAGGCTGAGCCGCTCCATGTCGAAGTAATTGTCTATTGGATTTTTTTTTTTATCAACCGGTGGCCTTTAACCTCAGGCAAAAACTCAAAGGTTGTGTCGCAGAAAAAAAGCTTCGATACCATTGCATCTGTCAAGTCCAGAAGCGTGGAATCCATGGATTTAAAGACAAATGTCGAATCAGCCAACCGTCGAATGAAAAACCGTCGAATCAGACAAACGTCGAATAAAAAAAAACGTCGAATTAGACAGCCGATTGTTCAACAAGAACACACACCACACACCACTTCGAGGTGACTGTTTGAGTGTCCGGACAGGCCCATCCCATCGGTACACTCCCATCTCAGCTTGATGGGTTCAGCGACTTTACAGCACACAAGTCGATGGTTCAGTCACCCCAATGTTCCTCCCTTACTCCCTCCTATATCATCTTGGAGTCCTGCAATGGATTTATTAGGCAGGTAGGGTAGGACACATTAGAATAAAACGAACATCAAACGAGAACTCACAACCGTGATCACCGCAGTGTAGAGAACGGTGAGGTACGGTTACCACGTCGACTGGCTTGCTTCCACAGCCAACACAGCCCTGGATGGGCTGTTCGAGCCTGCTGTCGTCTGCCATCTGGCGGCCGAACGACAGACGTGAGCTTACACCGCTCACAGATGGCGCTCAGGTTCAGGTGCGCTGCACCAGCCGGGCCCTCCAGGGCCCAGCGTCGAACACAGAGGTATAGGCATGCTGTGATTGACTCCCACATAATATGTGAAGATAAAGATATTATCTTTTGCCCTTTTTATAAACTTTGCTGTGAAATGCTGTGCACATTTCGCCGTAGCCCGTATAGGTAGTACCTGTATCTGCAGCGAACCCAATTTCGTTTTTCCTTTGCCGTATGTATACCCACTTGTCCCCCTTCACGGTCACTCGAAACACTTTAGACAGAACGTAGAGAACGTATATTGGCGTCTTATTTCGGCTATAAGCCAATGGCAAACGAACACAGACGCGCCAGATCCCGTCCGACTAGACGCCAATCACATGAGAGCCGCCAACACGAGCTCGGACGGCCACAGCGAACCATGGTGCGATCACCCGACGGAGAAACGGCGAAACACAGTGCGAGCACGGAGGGCGGCACAGGCGGCCCACTGCCCGAATAAACGTAATATCCACAAGAGTCGAGTAAGTGATATACAGCTGCAGTTAAATGATCACGATAATTTGCAAATAATATTAATAAGCGACATGACCCTATGATCACAATGAAAGAGCTGATGCGCATATGGCAATCCTGAACCATCCCTGGTAATCAGCAACTTATCAGCAAATACAAGCCGCACGCAGAAGCGCCGAGTTAAAGGTGTAGCTGAATGTAAGCCACTGTGCTGCCCGCATCAGCCACCGAGCACGATCTTACTGATTCTACTGGCTGACGTTTTCACCAGTTCTTCACCATATTCACATCACGGCCCTCGCCGCTCAGAGCTCATTACTGCAGTCCACCCACTGAGTTCTCCTCTCACCACGCACTGTCCCCCACCCCTGCCCCTCCGCCGTCCACCCAGCGGTCAGCTGGCGCCCCAGCTCACGGCCACCACCTCTGCCGTGCCCTGACCCAGCTCTCGGTGCCGGTACTTGTCCGTACCCACACAGGTCCGAGCCACTGACACCTCCGGCTTCCTACGCATACAGCCGGTCCGCCAGCAGCCGCGCGCCTGGCCCAGAAAGTCCGACAACAGCGCCTCGTCACCACCCGCCGGCCCCACCAGGTAGTCACAGAGGAGGTCCTCCGTACGAGCGCAACACTCGAGATGCGTCGCGTGAGGTGTGTAGTATGCGTTGAGACTGCTCAGCCTCACACCCGCGTCACTGGCCAGCGTGCCCGTCACATGCACATCGTCGATCCAGAAGTTCGCTCGGCGCTCGGCGGCGGCCAGCAGGCGAGTGATCACATCCTGTGAGACGACATACATCCACCCGGAGAGGAACGGCCGGTAAAACTCTCCAGGGTACTCGGCCGTCGGCACGTACCACTTGCTGGCCGGGTCGCGCACTGGCTGCATGTCGTAGTGAATGAGACCGAGCAGCAGGTCGCGCGGCGCATAGCGCTCGGTTAGTTTATCATGCAGCTGATACACATCTACGGCGATATCATCGTCCATCTTGACCACATAGCGCGCCTGTGGACAGTAGTCGGAGGCCCAGCGCAGGCCCATCAGGTGTTTGAGCGTCAGGTTTCGGTAGCTCTCGCTGAAGTCTCCCTGCACGATGTCGCCGTGCTGGCTGCTCTCCAGCTCCACCAGACTCTCGTTGACGCTCGTGTAGCCCTCCTGCTGCGACGGACGGCCGAGCAGGAACACACGCCGCGCTCCGAGTCTCCCCAGCTCCTCGGCAGGCAGCAGGCGCCGCCAGGCTGACCGCAGCCGCTGGTTGCCCTCGTGAGAGGTCACCACGATCAGCATGGTGACCTCCTCCTCCGCGGCGCACGCGTCCGTGTTGATGACGTAGTGGAACGTCCCCAGTCCGGGCAGCGAGCCGTTGCGGGGGTAGAGGCGGCTGCGGCCGGCCGGCAGCGGTGGCGGCGGCGGCGCGGCCGGGCCCTCCTGATGCCGACTGAGGGTGACCATCACTGCCAGCGAGCTGAGCGCCAGCACACAGAGCAGGGGCACACAGACGGCCGCCGGGGGGCCGGGCACGCGCCGCCGCTCGATCCGCGCCGGCGCCGTCCGCACCAGCTTCAGAGTCATGATGGGGCAGGTGAAGGCAGTCAGAGGAGCGGTGAGACGCGGCCGGAGCACATAGCACGCCGAGGTCTGCTCACAGTCGCGGACTGGTTACACCTGCCGACACAAAGATACAGTCCGGTTACACACAGAAATAGGTCAGCGGATACCGACAACGGCCAGGGACGTAACAGGGGGGATGTGACAATGCAGGATTGCAGCATTTACATATGAAGTTGCAGTGCCATTGCAAGAAAGAACATATGAAATACAAACATGCAGTTGCGATGGCCATCAAGGTCACTGCTATGCATCAGCGCACCTAGTCACACCGTACAATGAAAATTATAAAACACAGACGTCTGTTCCGCCGGTGTTCAACACAGCCGGCAGTGCTGGGAGAAAACGTCTCAGACCTAAACCGCTGTGGTCAGCCACACGACCAGCGATGAGCCGACCGTACAGCCGGGGAACTACAGACACCACCGCTGCCACCACCACTTCCTCTGCCGCCGAGCTCCGTCCATAAAGTGTCAACAAATGGACCATTGGGGAGGCTGCGGCGACGGTGGCCCACACGCTCCCAGCCAGGGCCGGTCTGGCCAGCTGCGGTGGTAACTCCTGGTCTGCCGTCGGCTCCGGTACAGACTCTCCCGTCCCCCGCCCGGCTGGACCGGTGGGAGCGGCCGCCAGGCCGGTGCCGGGTGGTCCGTCACGGGAAGCCATTTGCCCATTTAGAGACTCCGCCGCGCTGGGAGCCGGCGTCCGCCTGATGAGCTCGGCAAAAACCCGCGGTGGTAATAGGAGCGCTCAGAACGGCGACCACTGACGGCGCAACTGTGTGAAGACGAATTATGGAGCATCAGCAACGCACTCTCAGCCTCACGATATTAGCCTAGATAACCACAAACGGAAGTTGAGCGTGAGAACCGTTTTCGCGGCCAGGTGAGGATGCGTGCATGTGTTTCGGTTCTTTTTCTACTCGGGTGAATTGATTTGGTCTAAATCCGCGGGGCGGTTGCACAAAGCATGACTGCTGAATGTGCACCAGCAGTTCGACAAATACCAGACCGCAGGTTGTGTTTGACCCGGGCAAAGCGGATCTAGACTAGCACACAAGCTGGAAAAGAGCTGAGATCAACGGAAACGCAACGACGGTAACAAAGAGGGACTCGCAATGTGTGCCCGATTCTTCTAACGAATTGCATAATGCATAGTATTAAATTAGACTCACCAAAAGTAGTAAATTTGTGCAAATCTATGCAGGCGAGAACAGAAAACGGAAAGCAGTAGAGCTAGATGGTGGCAATACAACACGCAACACAATACGTGCTGGATGACGGCAATACGAATTACATCGTAAAGCTGAAATATAAAATTGCGAACAAAAAAAGATGTTCAGTTCAAATTGATCATAGTCAACAACGGCCTCGCTCTCCGAAAAATGCCACCATTCCTATAGTGGTAGACATCCGTGGACCGAAACATGCAACTAAACATCAGGCGATGCAACTCCGAGTTTATTATGAATGATAACTGGGTAAACTGTGCGACAAACTATGCTGCGAAAGAGGAAGTCATAATGTCCCGCTCACACGCAACACTTTGTTCGTGGATGCTTTCTCCGATTCTCGCAAAGGCTGCCGGCGAGTGACTATCACATGAGTCAGCCTGCCCCAGTCAGGGATGAACTGGGAGATTCCATATAGGTCAGCGCCCGCCGCACGCGATATATTCGGGAGAGAAACTTCAGGCTAGTTTACGCCCTTGTTTCGGCAGCATACACAGGTAGAGGCCGGCTTACATAGGCTGAACAGCAAAGTCCTGGATCTTGATCGCACTTCCACGCAAACTGACTTGATATCTGCATCTGCGGCCAGCCAGCAGTTATCCCTAAATGCCTAAGCATTATTTGAACCTGCTCCATAATACCGTGCCTGGGCCCACCGGATCTGGTGGCCGAGGAACGGCGTCATCGCACCGAGCGGTCCAGCCCTCACAGCCAGCAGAGGAGACTGGTCAGCGTCCGAGCTGGTCTCTTTCAGCTCTCTAATTTTGTCGACTTTCGGACAGTATCCGTAAGTGGTAGCTGAGCCACTATGTATGTCGAGTCGCCGACAGTGTCCACAAGTGGCAGCTGAGCCACTAATTTTGTCTGGCCCCGTCCACCGCCGCGCCGGCTGGTCGGCCGATCCGCCGAGCTCCGAGACAGAGAGCCAGCAACTTCGCCGGCGGCAACAGGGCCGACTTTTTGCTGTTAAATTACCGTCGTCAGGCGACGCCGGCCTCAGAGACCGTGCCCTGGGCGGCGGACGGCACGGCAGTCTCGACTCGGACGCTGCGGCAGCCTCTACTCGGACGCTCCGGCAGTCTCCTCTCTACTCAGGAGGCTGCCCCGCCCGACCGCTCCGGTTGGGCCCGCTCTGCTCCCAATTGGACAGTGCCCGCAGAGGCAGACCGGTGCCGATTTAATGACCCAGAAGTGGCGCACTTTGTCTCCATCCCCGGAGCGGGCGGACCCGCCTGCGCCGCCTGATGAGAAGATAGCTGGCTCTGGACACAGGCCTCGGAATTAAACTACAGCGGACAGCTGCGGTATAGTTCGAGGGCATGCCGCCGCCGGTGAAGAAAGCTCTCATAAATAGATTATAATGCCACAAACGGAGAAGAAGATAAAGAGGCAAAGGATGAAGACACTTACATAGACCAGCAAACGTCCCAGATGCGAGCATCGAACTATTGTCCCCAATGGCCACCGATCACGCTTGTTTCAGCACATGCTGAATAGCGTCCTTCTTTGAACTTATAGGCAAGCTGTCGGTGGATAGAATTTGCTTGTGTCCCACTTATTCCTGTAAACGTCCTCAGTTACGGACTGCAAAACCAGAGCCGTTAGCTGAGGCGAATGGCTGTGCAGGTGCAGCCATTGGCAGAACGGTGGCGACAACATTATTTGTTGAAGCGTGTCAACATAATTTTCCGCGCCCAACTGTCGTTCTGAAGTGGCATGCAATCTGTTTGCGCTCAACGACACACATTTACGGTCGACCGAACGACGGCAGCATCCAGCGGCGACAACACAACGAACAACTGGTTGGGGCAATTGAACACCTGAACAGGCAAGCAGAGGTCCCGGGACGCGAAAGCCACCCACCGGTACAGGCATTTACCATGTTTTGTTGTCATTTTCAGACGGTTCCGTCTTTTTGTGCCGGTTTTTGTCCCCAATCTATCGTTTTTGTTGCAGTGTTGTGTGACACGCAGTTCGTGTCACTCACCCATGGCACAGCCTGCTCGGTCAAACAGCTGAGACCAAAATAACGCGTGTACCTGACCAGTCACTAGCGTTCCCTGCCAGGTCAGTCAGACGACGGTGTCGGGTGTCGACTCCCATCTTACCAGGTCAGCACAGTAGCCACACCGCGGCCGCTGCGGCCGACCGGAGGTCACGACCCCAGCGGCGCCGCTGGTGGCCGCACCGCTACCCGGCTCTCTCACAGACGGTGAGTGCGTGGCGGTCGGAGAGTTCTCACAGCGTTCTCACCCCGAGTGTTCCGGGACTATACAGTAAGCACCGCCCACCACGCGGTCTGGCTCAGGGATGCCAGAACAGCCGGCGACACGCTGCGTGGCTGGCAAATTCAGAGTCATTTTGATATTAGCAGCTGGATTCGGGACATGCGTGACTGTCCGGTATGGTGCAGCGACTTCGCGTCGAAAAATTTCACCTGAATCCTGTCACCGGAAAGTGTCAGCGGTTCGCTAAAATCCATGCTGACGGGTCGCCGGGCATGTCATGTAGCGCCAGGTCACGCTAGGACCTAGGTCACACCAATTTACGCAGACTGCCGGCGCGCGTTCGATGGAGGGCTTTCGCCGGTTTTCCGACACGTTGTGTGCGCTCCGGCGGAGCTGACCGATCGAGGACCGGCGAGGTTCGCCCCGGCTGACTGACACCGCACGGACCGCGGCCGCCCTCTGTCTATTGACCAGCGTGAGGTGGCGTTTGTTCTGCAGCGGTGCTCCGACCGGCCGTCCCACCTCCCCGCTCTCCGACTCTCTAGTCCACCTCTCCGCTCTGTGACTCTCTAGTCCACCTCTCCGCTCTGTGACTCTCTCGCCCACCTCTCCGCTCTCCCCTTGTTTCAGAGTAGAGTCTGTTTGAGTTATTTCACACGCCGCCTGCTGTACACAGCGCTCCCATTGTGGAGCGAGTGTCGGCACCACGGCGCCGCGCCCACGCTAACAATGTTTGTCCCACATCATCTTGGACATGCACCACGACGCTGCTATAGGGAGGACGCCGCTCCCAGCCACCGCCCAGCGCCACCGAGGGAAAATGTCACTTCACATACCAGAGCAGTTCCTGTCCCACATATAGCCATATCCTACCTGCAACCATTACCACCATGAAAAAATGTTTACTAACTTCCTAGTTATCCAGCCACTTTTCACTAACAGAATGCGAGTAACTCACTCGCACCTTGTAAGTGAAAAGTGGCTAAATAACTAGGAGATTAGTAAACATTTTTTACAGTGATGGCCGGCACACGAACGCACCAGCGGGCAGCGCACTGACCCGAGTCTACCCAACACCTCACACCCTACAGTTCACAAGCACACGCGCGTACCACTCTCAAACCACTCTCAAACCTACGCCAGCCCACAGTCTCCTCTCCTCTCCCCTGACGTCACAGGTCACGCGTCTGGCTATGTCGTAACCGGGGACGCGCCGGCTCAGCGCCGTGAACGTTCCGGCCAGCTGACTGCCCCCGCTCGGAGTCGCTGGACCCAGAGTGAGCGGGCAGGCGGGTGGCAGCGGAGCGGCTCGCCCCTCCGACCCTCACCGGGGTTTCGCTTTCATCCGTCACAGAGGCGGCACGGGCCACTCTGCTCATGGCTCATGGCCCATGGCTCATGGCTCACGGATCACGGTAGAGGGGTGTATGACCGCCAGTGACTAGCGTCGTCCGGTCACCTCCCGGCGAAAGGCACACCGAGAGCGACAATGGGTCATTACCTCGACTACCGACCGTTTAGTCTACCACAGAGGACGTCGTGACGCCCCTGATTCACCCATGATGACCGTGGCGGTGTCACATGTCCGAATTTCATGCTTTATTCCAGACATGGCCACACAATTTATGCTAACTCGGTACATTACGAATTTCACCGCCCAACGCTGCCCGGTCTATTACCTTCAAATCGAAGCATAACATATTCAATTTTGCCTCAATCCATTCACTTTATGGATTCTAAGAAGCCTGATCACATCTCAGCCAATCACACCTTCTCGGTAACTGCAAGGTCCTCCGGAACTCCGGCCCCTACGTCACAACCCTAACCATCGCACTTCCTGCACCTATCAGTATTCAGCAGTGGGGCAGTTGCATCGTCACCGACTACATAGGTACATACGATTTCACCTCCGGCCGTCGTCCTTGGACCGTCTTATACGGCCCGGCGCCCGACACGTCATCACGGCAGTCTGTGTACGGAGGACGGTCGGTGCGTCTGATAGCGCCAGAGACCGTGGTCTCATATACAATGAACAAAATCCAAAGATAAGGTTTATAATGGCAGGCAGGATTTCGGAAGCCGCTAGATATGAGACGTGATACGGGGAGAGGAAAGCCGAGATGCAGGAACAACTTAGTGCTCATACACGAACCATTTCTTGGAAGAGTCTTACCAGGATGCAGGGACATCTTTCCATATTGTCTGGGCTCCATTGTCAATGCCTCGTTTACAACATAAACCTCGAGTCTGTACGGCCCAATTTGTCGGAAGCGGCCGCGCCTATGGGACAGCCACCGGGTACGTTCCCTGTCCCGCTTTCCGCGGTGGCCGGCCGGGGGACGACCCGCCCCAGTCTGGGACAGTGGGCCAGCAGAGACGGCAGGTGGCCGTCCCACCGGCGGCACTATCTAAATTACGATCGGACGCCGGCTCGCACCGTGGGCTGATGGATGCTGACGCTGGCACAGTTTTCTGATACGGGCACTATCGCCAAACGGTCAACTTATATCGGCTTCAGTGAGAAATACACACCGAGGAACGGTTCGAGGCCGGCCGGCAGATGGCTGGATGGAATAGGCACATCTCGTAGCTCGGAGGCAGGGGAGCTGCCCATGGTGAGCCACCTGACGGCTCCTCATCAGTCGAGCAGACGGCAGCGAAATGACCGTAATTCTGGCCTCAATCGTGGGTCGGCCGTAAATCGGAGATGCACATAAAAATCCCACAAACAAGCAGCGAAATCGGGGCATTCGCTGGCCCTGGCTTGTAAGAAACGACGCACCTTGCATATGTATGCAGTGTATGTATGTCTCTAGACTCTAACACGAATAGGCAAAGAAAACCGTCGCCTCTTTTTGCTAACACTAAACATGCATTACGATCGTCGCATCATATTTTAGGTTTTCATGGATCATTTTCAGTCCCAGTGTTACGCTTCTCAGCCTGACTCGAAAGTCTAGGACACTGTCGCACATAGACTGTCGCAACAGTCTAGGACCGTGCCGCCTCGCTCCCCCAAACCGCGCACGGCAGGCGTCCCCGGCCCGTGCCGCTGCCGGCCTGGCCACCAGTCCGCCCGGCACACCGCTCCATCACCTCCGTCTACGCCCCAAACCACCGGGACGTCGGCCAGGACCGAGTGACGACGGTTCGCACAGCGCGGAAAGAGGACAGCGCGGCACAACACCGGGCGCGGCAGTCGGTCCGTGGCTAATGCTCAGCGAAGACGCTCAAAAATCCATCTAATGGTGAGGATGGGCGCATTATTATCAAAGCGGCGCGACGGAATTACGATGTCGGACGCGGACAAAGTTAATGGTGTCTGGTGCGACTGCCGGGCCATATGGCGGTGGTGGCATCGTCATTTGTAGCGATGGAACACCTAAATGAACTGAAATTCGTTCATAAGTGTTTTGACCACACGGCGAAACGAGATATCTGAGCCATGGAGCGGTTCAAATGACTATCCTCCGTCGAAAGTAACACAATGACATGGGCCGGGAAAGTTTCACGTTAGACTCTTTCACGAAACACCAAATCAAAGTCGGTAATTTGATGTACCCGACACTGGAGAAGGCCATAACCACTGGGCACCAGAACCGTTTCCTTTGCCTGGGACGTTACATTCCCTTCCCTCAGATCGAGTTGCGTCCTAAATTAGCCCCGAGAGTGGACCACATCTGCCGTCCGGGCCTCCCTAATGGCCGCCGCTCAGTCAGAAGGCGCCAGACGGATAGACCGGTTCAGATGCCAGTGACCGCGCTAAGAGCAGACAATCGGACGGACCAGACACAGACTCACAGAATGTGGCCATCGCAGGGTCAGTAAGGGACCGGTGCATCAGCATTGCCTGACCTGACGAGTTGTGATAGTGATCACTGATGTAAAAGTAGCCGTAGCGATGCTTCCATGCGCCGCCTGATAGTCTGATAGATAGCCTGATAGATAGACTATCAGGCGGCGCATGGAAGCATCTCTTTTTGCCAGCATCTAACCTTGGAATCCCACCTTAAAAGCCGATAAACATCTACAGCCAGGCACCTCGCGCAATATCAGATAAATCAGTGCCGACACGGCCTTCCATTTCGTAGTACCTATTCGGTTGCAAGCATGTGTGTAACATCCAATCTCAATCCGATTATAACGCTCAACGCAACACAGCCATACAGATTACAGAAGGTCGTGGCAGCCTGTGACTCACCCGATCGGCCACAAACGCTGCTCAGTGTTTAGAAACAGCAGCAACAGAGTCCACAGTTACCCTTCAAATCAACCTTGGAAGCTGCCAAACAGCAGATTCTGCCAAACCCGTCCCATCTGTTCCATGCACTGCGGACTCCGCCCGGTGTGCAGTGTTATGGTGTGGGCGGCAGAACCGGTCGGCCTTCGGAACCCTCCCCTCCGGTATCGGTTCGGCAGCGCCCGCCCACTGCCGTCCCGGCCCCGCGGCGGCCGCTGCCAGGACCCCTCCCCCTCCCGCCGGTCAGACCTCGGCACCTGGTCAGGTATAAACAGGCTGAGACGTTGGTTAGGTCAGCCATATCGTGAGCATGATGCCAGCGGGATATATTGGGTAGAGACAGCAGCCAGATGAGGTGAGTAATGCTACTCAACTGGAATAAATACCGCACATGCCTACAAATAATTCATTGGTTCGTGATTTTGTATCGAGTAAAGTAACGACACAGCGACTGACAGCAAAGTCAGTTATCACAATCACACAGTGAACAGTTACTGGTTCACAGTCACGACTCTGCTATTAAACAGCTGAGAAGTCCAAGCTGGACTCAGGCCTCCGACACATTTGCGCAACCGACCAGTAGCAAAACAATAAACATCTTTAATGTGAGCACCACCCCCCAGTCTCCTGTCACCAGATATCAGAACTTGAAAGGACGGATTCCAGCAAAGTACTGCAGACACGAGAGATGTGGGCTAGTAAATGAAATACGTATGAATGCAATAATAATCGTTGCGACGATTGGATCAGACATACCAGAGTCGTTCTGCCGTCCAGGCGTAGTGTCCCTCAGCGACTGTAGCGGCGGCCAATCCACCGTCAGCTCACGCCAACACGGAGCCTTCCGACAGCCTCCTCTACCCAGTCTCCCCACGAACCCACGCGGGCGACCACTGAAGGCCAGCCGACAGCCCCCACCAGCCGGGCCGGAGCGGCGAGCGGGGCGGAGCGCAGACGGCACAACAAGGCCACAGCAGCGCCCCTAGCGGACACCGGCCGAACCGCGGGAATCCGAGCCGTGCGGGAGGGAAAAGTGAGCCTACCTGAGGCAAGGGCTAACGCCTGACGGGGCAGTGTCCACTCCCGTGACCGAGAAATGAGCATGATCAGTGAGGGCAGCTCCTCCCGTCTTCTGCTGAATGAAAAGCCATTGTCGTGCGGCATCCTTTACATATATCCTTTTGTCTCCGCGTCCTTTGTCCTTACCTACTCAGCACCTACAATTCCGTGCGGCCCGACTACTGGATCAGTAGTTCAGTACCAGAGTCGGGTCAAGTCGGCGCCAGCCCCCTCACAAAAGGGGTCGCGTGCCAATAGCGTTGCAGCCTTTGTCTCTCATTCAATCAAATGTTTTCCGCATTGCGGCTAACGCCCAAGATGTCCCCCGTATATAAATCTGCGTTCGCTTTGTTCAATACCCCTCCGTTCCGTCGCTTCCATCCTCAGGATACAGAAATCCTTCTCCTCCACGCCACAACCCCACTCCGGGCTGGACAGACACCTTTATCTCATGCGGGCTGCTCCCTTTGGAGCGGCACCGCTGCTCCCGAGGGAGCGCACCCCGTAGCCCAGTGATCGGCAGGTCATTCGGGGTCGTGCCCCCTTTTTGGGCGCCAGGCAGGGCCATTACCCCCACCTACCAGACCCCATTGCTGACACAACCAAGTTTACTGAAATTCCATACCGTCCTGGAACTCTTTGGGTATTTGTGCATTTCCAATGCATCAAATTTAAAACATGACACTTCCTCCACAAAACATTTAATCACTATATCCCAGTAGCGTCGGAACACCTTCAATTAAGGGGGAGGGGGGGGGGGGGGCACTGCCGACTTTTGGTCCCATTCTTTCCATGCAACGCCCATAGGGCTAATGTTAAAATCCAAAAATCAAAGAGTGCACGGTGCCCCGGTGCCCTCCCCGTTCCGCCGCCTATGCTATATCCCATTTAACCCTTGTACGTATAGGGGCGGCGGGTGGTTTTTCGTTAAAAGCTCACGTAAAAGGCATTGGATCACGACCAAATTGTACCCTCGAACCCATCATTTTTTTTTTTTACCAGCCCGGAAAATATCATGACCTGAGACCAGTTTTACCAACAGAAAAATAACCGCCTGCCGGAATTTTTGCATCAAGACCGCTTCACATACGGAGCGTAAACGCGATGGGCTCGTAAGCGGATAGGGCTTTACCGTTTACGCTCCATGTGTGAAACGATCTTTAGGCAAAAAATTCCGGCAGGCGGCTATTTTTCTGTTGGCAAAACTGGCCTCTGGACCCATAATGACCGTTGGCTTATGAGCTTTTTCTGGAGATCATCTTGAGCCATAAACTCTCACTTCAAGAAGTTATAGCGGGTCCCGATTTTCTCGACACTTGTCATTGCCCTCTTGAATGATACGGAATGACCAAGGACCTTAAAAATGGGCAGCAGCGGCTTCCTATTTTCACGGGTAGCACGCTCGTCTTTTTTATGCACAGCTCCATCTCAGAGTCCGAGAGGCCGCGCGGATGCAGGGAGTGCTTGGGGGGGGGGGGGGCTGGTCGGTCTGTCCATTCGGACTGGCTCAGCAGTCAGCCCCGGTGACTCTGTAGGGTGTCCGCCCAGACCAATGTTTCCCCCTAATTCCTATCATCCTTCCGGCTCTGAACTGGTCTTGTCAGACCGAAAGTGCCTAACCCAACAAAACAAAATTGCTCAATACATTTTGTTCCCAAACCTCACGCTTTTATGTCGGGTAAGTCTGAGTTTACTCCCTCACTTTAGCCCCCGACACCATTTACGGCCATCTGATCCTTTGTTCCTGTTGTTCTGCCCTGCATATCTATATCGATATTAGATCGTGTGGAATTTGTCTGAACCAAAGGGCACGCGCCGCCGTTTTTTAGATATTCGCGGAAAACTACAGGGGGGCCGGGGTACAAACACCTCCCGCAGGGCGCGGGCTAACTCACAACATAACGACTCGGATATGCGTGATTACCATTTACGGCTGTCGGAAAACCGGGCTAACGACAGGCCCGGAGCTGTGACGTGGATCGAGAACATGTTTTATTGTTCAGTGAACATAATGCGGGGCATCGTCCATCAGAGGTGTCAACCGTGCCCCCTGACCAGCACACCAACATGACTGTACCCTACACTCGCAATAGACCCGAATCGCAGTGACGCGACTCAGAAAGGAGTTCTAGCCCTCACCTTCAGTCGACCCAGCCCACCTCTACCCAGTGGGACTTGCCTGATGAGCCGCCGGCACGGATGATCCGTCTACTGTTGGAGACCGTGGTCCGCTTCCTCTCCCAGTCCGGGTCCGTGGTCCGCCTCCTCTCCCAGTCCGGGTCCACGCGGGGTCTCCGGACCGGGCTCCGTCTCCGGCTCCGGCTGCCGGTCCTCAGTCGGACTCTGCTGACGGGGAGTGCTCGATGCAGACACCGCCGCGTCGTCACGGGGTGAGCTGCAAATGCGACAGATAGAGACATCAAACCGTCAGCCGCCATCATATGAATGACGTTCCATATTTGCGAGAGGATTAGGTCATATGAGTAACAAATGCATGGGCACAGACACTTGATTATTTGAACATCTTGTCACTCATTGCCATTGAAAGGGCGATTCACGTTGAAAGCAAAAATAATTACAATCAATTAGAAGTCCCGGAATAAACTAAGTCAAATTATCAATTCTCAATAGTAGCACGGAGGAAACGCAGTGCACACAAGGCAGCGCACGGCTACTCACATTGGCGAGTCCGTTCCGGCGAGGAAGGAGGCGGACGCGGCGACGCTGTAGCCCGCCGGCAGAGAGTAGTCGTCCGCGGGCTGCTGACCGGCCGCGATCGGCGACAGCCCTCCGTCCCCCAGCACACTGGGCGGCGGCGTCGGGCATCCCTCCTCCTGCGCCGAGTCGAACTCGCTGTCCGCTGGGTCGTCCGGCTCGCCGTCGGCGGACAGCATGCCGTCCGACTCGGCGCCGTCGCCGCCGCTCGTCCACGGCTCGCCGGTCGTGGAGGTGTCCGAAACCAGCAGCGAGGGCTCGCGCGAGGCGGCCAGCGGCGCGCTCGAGTCGCCGCCCAGATAGGCGCGGTTCAGACGGTCGCCCGAGATGCTAGCCAGCGTCGAGTCGCCGCATGTCACAGAGTGGCGCTCGTAAGAAAAGCTGAGCGTTGCAGAGGTGTGAGTGTGTGAGGTAGGTGTCGATACGTCGTGTTTTAGGTGGAACTCTACTGTACAACTGTCGTTTTGTGACGATGGATGGTATCCTCTTTCGTCTGCCTGGTCTTGTGACTGCGGTATTCCCTGAACAGACGCGTCCTGCCCTAGTCCGTCAGAACTCTCTGCTTCATCTGACCGATGGCTGCTACCTTTGCGATCCCGTAGGATCTGTTCAACTGTCAGCGCGTGCAGAGTGTCAGACAGCATCTCAAAGTCGGTAACCAGCGGCTGTGAGCCCAATATATCTGCTCTCGCACCAAGATCTACGTCCTCTTCTGAAGCTGTTGAGTCCGCTGAAGCTGCCGTCTTTGGTTGATCGCCACCAAAGGGGCACTTCCCTCCAACATCCAGCGGGCTTCCGTCGCCAACTGATGACATGAACGGGTCCCCTGTGAGGGGTCGACGACCGCTGCCGGGCTCCTCTCCACCATCACTGACGACGGAGAGACTCAGTGTGGCCAGGTCACCATCACCGCGGTCGGGAGAGAGACACGCCGTGGACAAACTGCTCGTCTCTCTCGGAGATGGCTCCAGAAGACCAGCCTCGGCCAGACTGAGCGACTCACACGAGGCGAGCGATGGGTCCCGACTGTCCCCACATACACAAGTAGTCGACGTGTTATCCTCGTCGCCGTCGTCTCGCTGCATCAACACCTCTTCGGTAGACATCGAGAGGCACACCACTTTCTCGGCTTGTCGATGTCCGTCGTCGTCATCGACACCGAACAGCTGGATACCCATCTGCCGCAGCGTCGGCTCCGGCAGCTTGACATCAACGTCGGCGGCAGCAGACATGGAGGAGATGTCATCAGTGACCTGGCGTCGGATGGTGGCGGCCGAGAGGGGCCGGCAGTCCGTCTGAAGCGAGTCGCCCCGAGCAGAGTCCGGGGTATCATCGACATCCTCGCTGTCATCGTGCAGCGCCTTCTCCAGTTTGAGTTTCATGCTCTCGACGCGAAGATCCATAGCCAATTCTGCGTTGCCAAACGGATAACCTCCCAGGTTATCGTGCTGGGAGCTTTGCAGCGCTGTTGCATGAGTGTTGCTTTCGCCCTTCCTTACAAAGGGCAGCCAGCTGTCATCTCGAATCACAGAGTCGTTTTCCCCTGTTTCACTCTGACTACACTGTGAAGAAAAGTTATCGCTAATAGTTGATGTAGCCAACGTGTTCTGCTCCTCTCCCGCCATCGGATCTTGGTCGTCGGCAAGAGTAATATCAGCCTCGTCGTCATCATAATACTCACCAGACGACTCAGAAGAATCATCGTCACTGGCAGCTTCCGCTTTTGAAACATCTTGTGGCACGTCGTGACTCATGGTGTCTGCTGCGACAGTGTTCACGTCCTGATTGGTGGAATCCTTTGTGTCCGCAATGTTTCCCTCTACTGAATGAATCGGTTCTTCTCTTGTTGACTCGTTCTCGGCGGGAAGCTCAGAATGTGCAGGGTATCTGGCAGGCTCCGGATGGGCGGGACCCTCGGGAGCAAGGTGCTTCTGATCAGCATGCATCAGATACGACGGGGTGAAGAAGCTGTGGTCGGTTTCTCCCGTACCGGCCTCAGGCGCAGAGTCTTCCTGGGGTGGAGTGATGATTATTTGTGGTATTGTAAATTTACCGCCTCGATGGATAACTTCAGCCTCGTCATCTTCCATATCTTTGGCAGAAGTCGGATCATTCTTAGCACTGTTCACTGTGTCGCTTTCGTTTCTCGCTATACTTTGTAGTGAGGGAGCACCATCGGATGCGTATATTTTACCACCCGAGACGGACACGTCAGCGAGCCTTAGTTCATTTTCGTCACTCTCCTTTTTGAGTTCTGATATCTCGACTATTTTAGATTGGTGAGGACAAGAGCCGCCTTCTTCTTCAGTCTCTGTGATTTCTATCTCGTCACCTTCCCTCATAACGCGGTCTTGCACGTCCTTATGAGTGGTCTGAATTGCTTCCATAAGGTGAGTTTCGCCATCTGTTGTTTTCTCCACTAGAGAAATAAGGGGCGTTTCCTTGTTCGGCTCCTCCAATCCCATATCATCTCCCGAGAGAACTGCCCATCTGCGACGTGACTCTGCGCACGATGAGAAGATTGACCTTGTTTGGCGGTTTTCAACGTCAGTCGCTGGCTGCTCTAATGTCGTGGGATCTTTAGCCTTCAAGTGAGTCAAATCAACAATTTCTTGCTCGGGAATTTTCACGGCATCGACCGAAGCGCCTTTCTTGGACTCTACAGACTTATCGGCAGACTCGGTCGAACGCTCTTCGGCTGCGTCATCGTCCGACTCAAGTGGAGGCATGTCATCGTAAACAGACTCCTTTTCTCGTTCAGCCATCGTATCATCTGTCTGTTTCTGAAGGTCTTGGCCTGCCTCCTGTGCCATTTCAGCTTCTTCTTTGGCGAGATTAGTTGCAGCCTTCTTTGCAGCCTTCTCTTTTGCGTCATCGTCTGCATAAAGTCGTATGCGCGTCTTCAGCGACGCTATAGCGTTCACGCTGTCCTCGATCCGCTTACGTTCTCTCTCGTTCCAGCGGTCACGCTCAGCGCGCTCCTCCTCGCGACCTCCACGAGCCCACGCTTCGGCACAGGCGCGATCCTTGTCGAACACGGGCCGCTCATCCAGGTAAGACAGCTTCTTGATGCCGACGGTCATGATCCTGCGATAATCTTTGATGGTTCTCAGGCCTGGGTTACCGACCAGATACAGAACCCGCAGCTCCTTCATGCTTTTGAATATCTCAATCATATTCTCTTCGTACAGACGGTTGTGCGACAAATCGACGACGGAGAGGGAAGGACAGTCCACGAGATGGCGGATCGAGTCCGTTTCCTCCAGCCTGTTGTGCGTGATCTGCAGGTTCGTCAGCTTCGGCAGGCAGCTGAGGCCGCTGATGTGCGTGATGGCATTGTGACTGAGGTTGATCGTGTCCAAATTCACCAGAGCATCAAGGTTCTCAATCGTCTTGATCAGGTTGTGATGTAGAAAGAGAGATCTCAGCTCCACACAGTGCTCAAGATTTTCAATTTTACTTATCCCGTTGTTTTCCAACCAAAGACAGCGCAGACCTGTGTACTCTTCAAGGTTCTCGATTTTGACGAAGCCCTTAAAATGAAGATAGAGTACGTCATTAAGATATGGCGTGCTGTACAACTTCATTTCTCGGCATAGCTTCTTCAGGTATTCCTTAGTCATCCGTGGCCACTTGAACTTGTCCTTCGTCGATAACGGCAGAAGCTGATCAGCTTTGACATCGTCGTTGTGGTCACTTGCAGTCTCAGCCTCATTGGAGAGGTCATTTCTCTTCACAGGTGAATCATTTTGCTCGTGATCGTCAACCTTTTCAACCGATTCATCCACCTCTTTTAATTGATCTGAGCCGAGCAAAGTATTAGTTTCAACCGATGAAAGCGGTTCTACAGGCAACGGCTCTGGCATTTTTGCAGCGGACAAGGTTCGCCTGCTCCTTTTGTCACCAGGCTTTCCTACATGACATTGTTGCAGGCGTTCAAAGATTCTGAAAAAAACGTGTGAGAGTCACTTCGTTTGCGTTCTAACGGCGGTGCAGTAAATACGAACTATCACGCAACAATATGGAACATATTCAAGACTTCACCATCCTATTCCTTCCCCGAATTCAGTTTTTTTTTTATAGATTATTTGGAACAAGTGCCACCGAGGTTGAAAACGTCCGTCCAACAAAATTTGAACTTCAAGCTGACTGGGGCGGGGAGTGGTAACTCTGGTAAAGTTTTTCATTAGCCTTAACCCGCGCCCTGCTGGGGGGGGGGTGTTTGAATACCCCCCCCCTTGTGGTTTTTCGCAAATATCTCAAAAACGGCGGCGCGCCGCCGTTTTTGGTACACCTTATCATACATCAATTCTACACATGTTGTGAAAATTTCAGACCAAGGTCATTCAAGGTCAGGTCACCAGGTCACTTGAAGTGACCTCACCTCATAAAAAGTTTCAATGTCTGTCATAGCTACACCGAGTGACCGATCGCTTTGAAACTTTCAGCGATTACTAAGAGCAATAGTATGTACAAAATGTATATCTCAGAATTTTGATATCGATGACCTAAGGTCAGGTCAATTTTGCGACCTCCCCATTATAAGTCAATGGGAGAAAATTGAAATGCGCCTCTTTTGGACGAAAGACATTATAAACACTCCCAAACACCGAATTACAAGTGGTTTAGACACACTGAACATGAAAATGGTGTCCGTGACCCTTGCTTATGCCCTGAGGTCATCTTAGGTCACGAATGATATCTAACAGTTTTTCGCGAATAACTTTTGATAGAGGCGTGCTAGAGCGATGAAAACGCCTTAGATGTGTTCAGCTCGACGATACGGATCGACTGATATGCAACATGACCCTTTATGGTCAGGTCATGACCTTGACCTGAGGTCAAATTTTCAAGTTGACCTTTCAAGGTCAAGTTATAGTTCATTCGATGCGTCTTGACGAGAGGAACACGATGCCGGTAAATGTAAGTTCGTACAAGGCTTGGGTCAAAAGTTATTGCAGAAAAACTGTTTCCGAAAAAATCGGCTATTTTTGCAGTTTTTGCCCCCTGCAGGCAAAACCGTTGACGTTAGGTCAAATCTGAGAGAATTACTCAGAAAGGGCGTTAATAGGGCTATCGAATGCGCTTTTCCGCGGCGCTGTAGCTCTATTGGTTCCCGAGTTATGCGTTGGCTTCTTGGAAATTTTCGACATTCGACCTGGAAATCGGCGAAATTTTGCCTTCAATGACCTCTGGTGACCTGACCTTTGACCTGACCAAAAAATTGACCGAAGTGATTTCGTCATTATTTTTGACGCTCTTTCGAACGCCGCCTTCCGCGTATCGCTACGTGGCCCAGGAGCCGAGTTACAAGGGGGGTGTTCAAACACCCCCCCCCCCCAGCAGGGCGTGGAAATCCAGGACCCCCAGCCGGGCGCGGGTTAACCCTCGCCGGCACCGGGGGGGGGGGGTTGATGCAACCCCCCTAAGGTTTTTCGAAAATAACTCGCGTAAAAAGCGGTCGATCGCGACGAAACTTTCAGTACCCTCGCATTGATCAATTTTACAACTACCCTGAAAATTTCATGAACCTGACCCCCATGACCTTTGACCTGTGGCCTCTTTTCCGTGACCATGTTTGGCCGAAATCGCGATTCGGCGTATGTCGGCTCGCATTAGCCGCGCGTTTGCAAGCTTTTCGTGGTTTCAAACGTTCGAACATGTGATTTGATGTTGCTCCCATGCATTAGGGTGGGTGTCTAGTTCACCTGAAGGTCAGGTCAGGTCACTGACCTTTGGTGACCTCGGTTCACATTTTCGAGTTTTACATGTTTCTAGGAGCTGAATTCGAATTTAGCAACCATTTGAACATTTACGAAGTAGTTTCGGTGCCTTCGTAATATGTTACGAAGCTGTCAGAGGCGGTTGACACGTATTACGAATACCCGTCACGACCCCTACCGGTTGATCTGACCTGACCTGACCCCAGACCCGACCTGGTCTAAACGCTGAACGACATCATCTGTGATAAAAACTAACACGATATTCGTGATCAGCACCCCGGAGCCCTTGCTGGTGACTTGCATCCAATTCAAATTACGATGAGCGGGCAGAGACTTGGGCCACGGTTTTGGGATAGGGACCGTCCGATGAGCGCAAAAATGTACACCCCTAAACATACATCTGCAATACCGAATACGGAAACAATTTTTTGGGGGTGGTTGGGGAATATCCCAGGTCCAGATCCATTCTTCACGACCCCTCTTTAGCCTCAAGCAGACTCAGAGCAGGGGGCCCCATGACTGGGCGGCTATAATTTATAAATAACGATATTCCGCCACCACCCTACGCACATTCCTACAGGCAAATAGTTTATATCTAATTGAACGTGAAAATCGGCACAAAAACGCTCACCTTGCACACTAAGTTGAAGTAACATTCAAACTCAACATCGGCATATGCAACGTTTGCCCTTGACGTTTGCCAAGGCCCTATATACGTTTGCAACCCAACAACAACCCAACAAATTGCAGCCTGCAGCACAGCAAAACAAAATAATTGTTCCTGGCCAGTTTCCATAGCAACCAATAGCAATCTATTGTATAAATTGTTTTAGAATAATTAATTGTAGAAAAAAAAATACAACTTAAAGTTTTTCGTTGAATTACGAAATTAATATCTTTTAAATTTCATTAAAAAGATCTATGAATATATTTATAAATAACTTTGAAGATAATTTTGCTACGCTACATGCGCAGTGGTGACAAATAGAAGCTGAAAAAATATACGTTACATTAGGCTGGATTTTGTTGTTTATCAGGATAATTAAAATCATTTGAGGTGTGTATGCTCTTATTTGTATTCTTAAACCCATTCACTGTCAACCTAGGAGGAAAAGAAAGGCCAAGGACCATTGACCAAGGCTATATAAACCTACAGGCCATTGACCTACAGAACTGGCCAATGCCAAGGACTCTCTACAATAGGACGTTAAAAAAGGTAGGTAGGTAACATCAAACATGGGTAATCCATCATCAGCTATGGTTTGAAATGAAAGTGTCCATTGTAGCAACAGGTTAACTATGTATTAGGTTATGTCAGGGCTAAGGCTAAGGCCATTAGGCTAAGTTTTTATTTATTCTGGTTGAAAACAGCCATGCAAAGATTTGTCCGGATAATGGCATATACTATACTCTGCTCCATTCCAAGCTTGCAGCCGACTGCCGAAGTGCGCTGCTGAAAGCAGTGCGTGATTTCTGTATATACAGCTCTTACATTTTAAGACGCAAATTCTTGAGCAGAGGAGCGATCTGCCGAAGAAACTCCGACTGCAAGGTTGATATGCAACAGACTATAATACTAAAATTTGTCCTGGATTCGGGTTTGTGTTTGGTCCTGGGTGGACTGTGGCATAGCTCTGTGCTGCATGTCATGCCCCCAGGCCGGACTGCAACCCCCATGTCATACCCCCAGGCTAGACTCCACTAGCGTGACTCAGGCATGCAGTTACAAATCCCAGGCGTGCAAGGCACAGTGCAGGCTTACAAATAAAGTAAAATTAAGTTGTGCCATTGAATTAAGCCCTAATACTTAGGCATGCAAATTAAGGTCATCAGTTTAATTTTTAATTTTAAATCAAAGAAGAGTGATGTTTGAACTAATTCATTTTTTAATTAACTTTGGAACCTTTCATAATCGAACTCCTGCAGAGATTGTCTATGCCACTGTACACAATTTGCTATGCTGCTTGTTTTTCTTGTGGTTGTACTGGGCATGTAAGTGTTAACCCACTAGCCAGCCAGTTGCATTTATTCCCCACTACTAGCCAGGCGTGCACTCCCATCAAACTGGACACACCTCGGGTGTGCACTCTGCAAATGCCATGTTTTGCAGTCTGTCCCCTAGGTGACAGCAGCCACTTCTTTTCAGACTTTTCTTTTCAGATTTTCTATTTGCAGGGAATGCATTTTCTGATTGCCCTCTATTCCTCTACCAAGTACCAGATTATCATTAGTACAATAATATTGTGTTCAGTAGAACTAGATAGTGTCAACATTTTTGTGCAGTCTTAGGCAAGCTCCTTCTTTGAACAAAAGCTTGTTCCAATTTCCAAACAGTGAGCAGCAAGGTATGCATTGATGCCCAAATATGGTCATAAATAATGATTTTTTGGTGCCTTCATTTTGTATTATTGTTCCGGAAGCCTAGTTTGCCCAACTGGCTTTGTGCAGAACATTCTGTCTAAGTTGAATGTGTGGCACTTCTGGATTGTTGATTTGTTTCAAAGAATGTGCATGATGTGATAGGTATAAATAGGTATGGTATGACAATTAGTAACATGCCACTGAGAGTAATCATAAAAGTACAGCTAAATTCAGTCCTCTCCAATAATTAATGGAAGATGATGCTAGCTGTGTTTTAAATTGTTGTCTTCTCCAGAACCAATGTAGTTATTAGTAGTTTTTCACTTAATTTCAATTTATAATATTTTGTTGGTCGTTTTTGATTCAGTTCGTTTTCCTTTTCTAGTTAACTGATTTTCTGGGTTCATTGAGGGAGATGGGACCTGAGGAGATAAAGGCTCTAGTGGCTGCGGCCATTGGTAAGGAGCTGGAAGGTGTTAAAAAGCAAATCACTGAACTTAAAGCTGAGACTGAGCAACTCAAAAAAGAAAATCTTCATCTTCGTAAGGCAGTCAAAATTCTAGAGGACTCTGTGGACGAGGTGGAACAGTATTCTAGGAAGTCGTGTCTGATCTTGAGTGGGGATGCCATCCCTGAACCGAAAAAGGATGAAACAACTGAGGAGACTAGAGCCATGGCACTGGGTGTGATGAAAGAGAAACTTAAAGTAGATGTCAAAGGTGGAGTTGTGGCATGCCATCGCCTGAAGAACAAAAAAAGAGTCATTGTAAAGTTTCAGGACATGGACGACAGGGAGAAGGTGTACCAAGCAAAATTCAACCAGACTGAGGGCGCTAGTGTAGTCATCCATGAAAACCTAACTGATAGGCGTGCCAGACAGGTCAAAGTACTGTCCGACATGAAGCGAGACAATGATCACGTAGTGAACTATCATACTAAAAATGGGATCATCCTGGCTAGGGACTCGAGGGATAAGCGGTATGCCAGGATCCAGCCATCCTACAGCCGTGATGAGATCATCCAAGCCATGCGTGAGGCTCCGGCTCTCTCCTTCACTGGAGGCAGACGTGATGCTTCCCATGGCAGATTCCTGGTGTCCCAAACCCTTGAGAGCATCCCTGCTGGCCTGGTCCTGAACAAAGCGGAGGATATCGAGAGCCTGACTGTGCACAAGGGCAACAAAAAGGACAAGCGCGTGACTAGAAACACCAGCAACAACAGCTAAGGACTAGGTACTAAAGAAAGAAAATCAGGTGAGACACCTAGAAATAGCTTGTATTTCAGATGTCAGACATCAAGTAAAAGGATCATTCTGCTATCATTTCCATAAATTAATTACCTATGAATATCTTGCATATTTACTCAGAAGTAGTTTATTTCCACTCTAACACACGGTAAAATAATGATTGGACTGGGCTGTGTCCTGGGCCCTTGCTCTTGAACGTAAGCTGGTTTTGCACTACTTGTGCTAAGCAAAGGTCTGCCTACGAGACATTTTCAATGTCAACTGAATTGGCTTTGAGTTCAGTTTAACACTACATGCAAACTACATATGTAATACATGCACAAATATATACATGTCTATCAATAATTGACATATTGCATAATTTACTGCATAACATGTACAATAGCACATAATAAATGCTGATATATTGGTTTAGGCTCATCCCACTGTGTTCATATGTCTAGTTGCTTCATGCTAATGAAACTCTCTTCATTTGTAGAATATTGTAGTGTGTCACATGAGGCAACCTAACCTACAACATGCCCAATGGTGTGAGCAATTGTCTTGTGGTGATGTGATTATTGCCTTCTGGCAGCCTCTCACCTGGAGACGGGTGGTTTTATGTATGAATGCTGGCACCTTGCCTGGTAACAGGCTGTTTTACTGTGTGAATGAGCGTGAAAACACCCAGTTCCAGCACGCCGCTGGCTGACTTTTAGTGAATGAATGGCATGGTGACATGCTAGGCCCATGGGTCTTTTTATTGTATGCTTGAGTGCCTTGTGTGACTGATGTGAGGTTAATCTCAAAGCAACATACTTTTGTTCTACACTCATTGGGTATCGTTATGGTCGCATAACTTCAAATGTGGTCAAAATGGTTGCAGATGCACATTCACATTGTGGTCCTTCTGTGCATTTCATGTGTAGCACTCAATATGTACAACATACAATGATATACTAGATATTCATGTGGATTCATGGGTGGATGCCTGATTGATATATCTGTCATTTATACCTTCCATACATTATGCATGAACACATGCCTCACTTGCCTCACATGCCTCACATAACACCTACAAACATATAACATACTCACAACTTGTCTGTTATCCTTCCTTATTCAATATTTTCCATCTTTTCTTGGGGCTGGGACCTGGGACGCAGTCCAGTCCGTCCACTTGCGACATCTACTGTCAGCAACAGAAACCATTTTCATATAGATGTCGCTGTGTGCGCTGGAGTATCACACGCTTCAGTAATATATATTCCCGACCGGGGCTGGGAAAATGCGTTTTATTCACCGAGGTTTTTGTGCGGAGGACCGAGTGCCGGTAGGCACGAGGTCCGTAGCCAAAAACCGAGGTGAATAAAACTGCATTTTCACAGCCCAAGGTTGGGAAGAGATTTACCACATGCCGTACCGGCGCAACAGTTAATATCATATTCATTTGATATTTTACACTTTAATCTTAAAGGGACCCTCCCACCTTAACATTAGTTTTGAGTTGAGATAGCCAAGTTTGCGGCCAGGCTCAGAAACCACCATTTATCTTGGTCGCAACCCCCGCAGCTTTATGGTGTTCAAGAAATTCCTTCCCTTTACTTGCAGGGTGGGACCAGCGTGGTCCCTATCTCTTAACCATTACGGGAATCTGATGACGTCATCAGGCTTTCGAACGTCCGTTAAATGTTTGACTAAAACGTTTTGTACCACGCGGTGGTATATGCTGCTTTGCGCGCAACAAATGCCGCACTTTCAAATAAAGTCGCTAGGAACAGCGGAGATCCCAAAAAGTAAACAAAAGTAAAAGTCTAATATCTTGAAAACCGGTGAATATTTTTCGATGAAATTTGGTAGCTATTCGTTTTTGCTCTTTCTGAACCGAGCGACATCACTTTCATGCCAATTCATTAACTTTTTTGAAGGTGGGAGGGTCCCTTTAATATTGTGTTAATATTATATCAATACTATGTTCATATTTATAGTCACCGTGATTATTATTTTCTGTTTTTCATTATTAGGCTGCGTTGAGTATGAAAGATGAAATTCCTACTTCCCCCTTATTTAGGGTTTGAAAAAGCTGAGGAGAAGATGGTGAAGCGCCAGAAGTTAGAATAAAGATATGGAGTCCAGCAGGAGTGAGGAAACCGTGATGAAAACTAAAAA